CCGACACAGTTACCCATTAACATGTCTAGGTTAACAACAAACTGTAGTGATTTACCAACCATTAGTTTGAAAACAGCTAGACCGACCGAAGCCCATCTAAAAAAGTTGAAATTGCCATTGTCACGTGTCCTTCAGTAGCATCTCCGAAAATGGGATCCTTCACATTTCCACAGTTTTGATAAATGTGATACGTATTTTTATCATTCAATTTATTGATAGTTTTATCTCTGATTGCCTGAACTAAATTGTGACTCATTGCGTAAAGCAGGACTACGAAATGGAGTTTTTCTGGATTACATATTTCTAAATTTTTTGTTTCCGGGAGAAGGGGTATTATACTGTTATGTTTGAGATGTCACAAGTAACAGAGCGTTTATTTTAGTGTTTGTTCACCTTCTTTTCGTTATCTTTGCTTTGACTTTGATAATATTCATGTCATGACAGGTGCCAAAGTCATGACATTACCCTGGACTAACAGGGTTATGTAACAATCACTGAGATGACAGTTGAGGAGATGAAACTGAAACTGGCCACTATGCGACGAGATTGGTTATTCTTTCGCTTAATGTACTCTAATTTAATATGCTGACTGAACAGTAATTTGTGTGATCAAACCTACAGTCTCTCGTATGAGAACATGCTGACCACTGCCCCCACACCAGTGTACATTTTCCTTAAGATCTTAAAAAGCAATTGGTGTATCCTATGAGTTAAAAACATTAAAACTATATTGACGATATGTTTATCTGTATAAAGGTTAAGTAAGAACTTTGGAACTTGCGTTTCTGTGCGGTGTATTCAGTATTCGTAAACAATGAATTGTCATCGATTTTAGTTATCTAATCAAGTTATCAGTTAAGGTAAACATGTGCTGTAAGGAGAAGTAACCATGGCGACAATATATTGTGTCCATAGTGAAAAAAAAATATGATGGACCGAGGAATAATTGTCTTCAGTGAAAATATCAGTATCACTGGCATAGGCCGGAAACGATTACGTCATACACTGACCAACCAATCATGAGCGAAACGGGTCACCAATAAAAGTAGTAGTAGTTTGAGTGACAAGACTCAACAGTAACGTCACCGAGCAAATTCCACGTAATGCCGCATGAGGGCGTTATATGTCGGGCCTCACGGCCTTCGCTTGAAAAAAATTAAATGCCTTTGGCATTTCGTTAACACGCCTACGGCGTTTGGAAGTAAGTGACTCTTTATTAGGCCCGAGAACTGTCGACAGTCTATAATCTAATTGCAAAACGGATTCTCGCGTGACAACCAGTTGGCGAGACTATATCGTAAAACTTTGAGTTCAAATAAGGAGACTCAG